GGGAAAGATGCAAAAAAAACCCAACCTGATGCCTTATGCCTGAGGGGATTTGAGCACCTAAACTCTACTTGTGCCATGTTTGATTTCTAGATCTTGTATATGGACTATACACCTTCTGCACCCAAGTTCTGTCCTTGAAAAGTGACTTAATGTCATCTATTTTTTTGCACTGACTTCAGTGTTAAAAGTTAAGAAAACAAGAGAGTACTTGTTGTGTTTTCAGAAACAAGGGTTAGCCTGTAAAATCAGCTGCATGACTAATAAAGTCTACTTCTGAACAGGAATTTTCTCTTTGGCATTCTTGGGTGACCTTTCCTAGTTTGTTCCACTGTGTGCAATGGTTTTCTTTCTGATTTTATTTTGCACAGGGAGATCAGGGTATTCCAGGGGACAGAGGTCCGCAAGGCGAACGAGGGAAACCTGGTCCATCGGGAGAAAAGGGGGATGTGGGTCCTATTGGGCCACCAGGAGACAGAGGCTATCCAGGATCACCGGGTCATCAAGGCCCCCCAGGTTCACCAGGACCCCCAGGGTTTCTGGTAAGTAAATACAAGTTTTCCTAGTTCCTTATGAATTTACATGACATGAAGGTAGCATGTGCTGGGCAGTGGAAATTCGGTTGAGCAGTACCACAGTACCAAAAGAACTATGATAGCTTTGAGATAATTCTGGTGTTCAGTTGAGATGTGGAAAAAATATACCCAGGTGATCAAGCAGTTATTTAGAAAAAAAAAATGGTTTTAGACATGTACTATGGATAAACTTTAATTATCCATTTCTTCAGCTCCTGACAAATTAATGTAGCTGCTCAACACTGATAATTTTCAAGTTTTTCATAAGCTTAAGAGCTAAAGTATGAGTCTTTGCAGACAAGAAAGAAAAGGAGGCACACAAAAATTATTCTCAATGAAAGGAAAATCAGCATCTGAAAAGGCAACAAAATGCTGTCTGTTGGTTGTAGGTATCTTGGTTTGTCTCCTTGTACACACAGGAACACATCCATGTTATGGGTTCTTTATACCCTCAATCAGAGGTAAATCTCTAAGAAACTTTTCTGGTGAAAGTCCAGTGTAGTTATGGGTCCTGTGATGCAGTTCTAGTTAGCTGGTTGTGCATCAAAGCAGTTAGTCCTCAGAGGGGTTGAGAAGCTGGCAAATGCTATGCAAAAGGCGAGCAAAGCACAGCGGTGGCTCATGCGGATTAATGTCCATACTCACAGTGCTCTGATCATCCTGACAGCGGGGAGTGCCTCTTCCACTTCATGGTATTACTGGTCCTTATAATATTATTATAATGTATTTGCAATAAAGTGGCCTTTGCAGCTAAATAACACAAATGTATAAAAATACTTTAGTTTTGGTGAAAGCTTTACATTTTAATGCAAATTCAGCATTTTTTAAAATTTTTGTGTCACCATAAAGTGCCATCTGTGTGGTTCTTCTAATGCATGTTACCTGGTTTTCTTCCTCACGAGGCTGACACAGTGTCACTTGAAGAAATAAAAAAATATATAAAACAAGAAGTTCTCAAAGTTTTTGAAGGTAAGAAAATGAAGTATTATAAAACTAAACATAAATCTTAAAGTCTGTTCTAAATATTCTGCATCCCTACATCCTTTATATACATTTCTTTACATGCTATCTAAATTACGTTAGACTTAGCAGCTGCTTTGTTGCTGTAGCTGTGTTTAACTGTTGTTTGTCTACTCAATGTAATTATTTTCAAATAATTAGAAATCTTTGATGCCCATAATCCTATTTATTTTTTTTTCTTAAGTCTTAAAACCCCACCACAGTCAATACCTGCTAAATTGTGGAATGCTTAGTTAAGTTTTTAAAATCAGGATAAATGAAAGAGATTCAAGGTTAGTACCTATTTTGTCTGCCTCTAAGGAACACTGAAATGTTACCAAGTGCACTTTATTTAACCAATATGAACAGTTCGTGCTGAAATCTCTGTAATTAATAGAGGTTGATGAGGACTCAGTTGTTTTCACAACCGTTTTCAGGGTTTCAGCACATTCCAAGAACTGTTCACAGTATTTGAGTTCTACTTTGCCACTTAATAGTTACAACATATAAGTTACAACATATAGGGCAGACCCCTTCATGGAGTCAGTGCTAATTATTCTGTGCTTGTGTATTTTAAGTACTTCCATGAATGGGAATGAGAAGTCATTTGAAATATTGGGATACATTCGTAAAATAAAGTAGTAATAGAAACTTTAGTACATATTTGTTCAGATTATTTCAAAGTGTAAAGACTTGAGCTTGAACTGAAGGCCTCAGTACTTATAGAAACATTTTATACTTTGACATTTAGAAGAATTAAACACCTTGCTTCCAGAAACTTACTTTATTTGGACTTTGGGATTTATTTTCTCTCATTTGCCTATCCATTTTCTTACCCACTTTTTCTTGTGTCCTTTCTTAATGAAGAAAGGATGGCTCAGTTTGTATCCCAGATGAAGCTGCCAGCTGCAATGCTTGCTTCCCAGTCTCATGGAAAACCAGGTCCCCCAGGAAAAGATGGGCTACCAGGGCCACCAGGAAAGGATGGTTTGCCAGGGCCACCAGGAGAGCGTGGAATTCAAGGTAGGAATTCGAAAAAAATGTTTCCATGAATTGTATCTTTATACACTTGCTAATGATTATTAAATAAGCTAGGACTACCTATCTAGCTTCGTAATGATTAACTTTTAAAATTGTACGTATGTTTTTCCAGACTAGATCCTAAATATTAACCCATAGTAAATGTGTGGATTTTACTGATTGAAAATTCCTAATCAGTGCATTTTATTCTAATAAGTGATAAAGATAATTACTGACAGATATCTAAAGCTGAGAGATATCCAAACTACTGTACCATTTTTTTTCTCCAAAATGCTTTAACAAGGAAGAAAAACCATGCCAGCATTCTAATGTAACTGTTCAGAACCTGTTCCATATTGAGAGATCATCTTATTTAAGAAACAAAATTCAAACTCCAAGTCTGAGTGCTCTCAGCTCTGATCCTGAGACAACACAGGGGAGGAAAAAGTGAAGGCAAATATTATTCTTTAAGAAACAGTGAAAACTGAAATATTGCCACGTGAATTCTTCTTAGAGTGAAGTAATCTATTCTTCACAAATCAGTTTCAGCTCCAAATGGTGATTTGTAGATTGCAGTGCATTTGGACAGTATAGGACTGTTGTTTCACTGAACTGTCTTTCACTGCAAAATCAGCTTCAAGGGATCCAGGCTCATTGTAACTGTTCTCTGCTGTAAAGTCAGCCTCTCAGAGATTAAAAGGAAAAAGAAAACAGAATAAAAGGAAAAAAAGAATTTATCAATGAATAATATTTTGTGGGTGGGTAATATGTAATTTGCAGTTTATCTGTAGGTAGTTCTTTATTATCTTTTGTTAGTTTGGTCTGCTCTGGAGTCAGAGCAAGTCAGACTGGAATGAAGAACATGAGAGCAAAGCTGAAGATGTGTGGATCCTAAAGCTATCAGAAGAATAAAGACTTACTAACACTGATAAGCGCAAATCCCTGAAAGAAGCTTGAAAAGTGTGATGAGCTCAGAATGAGAAGAACAAGAATAAAGAATCAAGGAAAACAATAAAAGGCTTAGAGTCTTACAACACTGACTTCACCTTACCTAAATATTCAGATCACTGTAAACAGTTAATTTCAATGTCAGTGCCAGATTGTTCAATGTTAATGTATGTGGTGGATAGTCTCAGATGCTTCTGGGAAGTGGGACGTTGTACTAGGCTTCATTTCCAGCTAGGGAGCATCGTGAGTAAGGGTGATAGCTATGCCTGAAAAAAAATAAAGCTGCTTTTTCCTGCCTTATGCTTAAGTAACAGTAGTGCCCCGTGTACACAGGATTTCCATTGATTCTACCGATATGCTCAATACTCTTTTTTTGATTAGTAAAAGGTAAGCTAAGTGAGAAGCATTTACTTCTCTGATACATCAAAAGCTGCATGAAATTATACTTTCAAGGAAAGAAAACCAAAAATTTTCTTGCCTCCTTGTTATTCTCTGAGTGAAAGATAGTCCCATGAGAAGCACACTTACAGCTACCCTTCATGCCTTTCCCAGTTGTGCCTCTGTGTGTTACTGTTTTGTGCCAACAGTAAAAAGAAATTCAAATCTCTGAGCGGACTGAAAACTGTCCTTCCCTATTCCTTATTTTCAACTTTTTTTTCAGCCACAGAAGTCATAGCAGACAAGACTTCTTGGAGAAGCCTGTTATGTGCGTGTGTGGCTGAGCCATCAAGGTAGCACGCTATGTGCACATGTGCTCCAGTCATAATACACATTTGGTATTGACTGGCAGATGTTCCTTATTGTATTTCTCACTTGGATGTAGCCCAGATTGCCAGCTCCAGGGTGTTGCTGTGCACAGTAATACACATTTGGGCTGGCAGAGTGGAGCAATGTTCCATATAACCAGTGAGAAGAAGCAGACACTTTTGGAGGTCAGTGGACCTCTACAAACACCTCCGAGCCTGATTGTGATGCTGCATGTTGAGCAGAGAGCCAGCCAGCAGGAAAAGCAGGTTTAACTGTGTGTCCAAGGAGGTGCTTAGCTTCTCAGGGGTCCCTCCATATGCCTTGAGTGTGGTGCCAGTTCCCCTGGGAACTGGTCTGGTATGATCTGGCCAGATTCCACCACAGATTCCCTTATGCACAGCAAATCAATAGGTAGGAGTTAGTCACAGAGGCATAAAACATAGGTACTAACTTTTGGAGGTGTAGATATGGTCTTCAAAAAGTATATTTAAGACATTTATAGATTCTTGGGCATAGAGTCATTCATTTCTAATTAACTGTTACCTGGTGGCCTTCAGCAGTGTTGTTCATAGTGTATCTCAGGTACTTCCCAGTGGTTCAGGTACAAATAATGTTGATTTTATGGGATGGTCTCAATAAAAATATAGCATGCAGACAAAAAAAGAACAAAGAATTGCATCTTAGATTATGAAACATGCAATTGGTATTTAACCAAACTTTGTGTATTTGTGATTGAAGGATTTATATATATCTATATATTTCTTAATTTAAGAAAAATAAGTAAGCTGCTACTGTGAGAGAGTAGAATTTTTACCAGTTAAATGTACAGTATCTACTTAAGCTGGGACAGGGATACTCATTTACTCTGTATGTGTTTTAAAGGATGCTAGTGTCTCGTAGAAAAACAGGAGGTTTATTTCAAGACTTTATAGACAAGCTATAGCAATGTCATCTATTCGAAAACAGTCCAGCTTGTCATGTGTTCGAAGGTCTAAATCAATCAATTCCTCTGGCAATTGGATTTCTAAAACTGCAGTAGTAAGTGAATTTTGGTCTATTAGGCCAAATGCACCTTGGGATAATGTTGCAATCCAACAATCCTTCATGTTAATATGACTATTGGATTTTTTTCTCAATAGCAAAAAGATTTAATATTAGTTAAACTTCACTGTTTCTATCAAATTAAGGAAAAAAAGTTTTTTGTAGGTCCTCAATTTATTGTAGCCTCAAGGAATCATACATCACAGCTCAGAAAAGAAAAATGCCATGTGATGAATAGTGAAAGTTCCTTATCTTTATTGCTAATCTCTGTTGTAAAATTTGTGTTTCATTATGTTTATTAATTTGCATGGTTGGAGCATGTAGAAACCTGGGCTGACATCAAGAACCCATTGTAGTGGATGTTGTCCAGACACAGTCACTCTTCTGAAATAGCTGCACTGGTTTCAAGCATTACCTCTTCCAAAATGATCTTTGCCATGGAGGGTAAAGTTAACCTGGTTTACTTTGGTTTGAAACCCAGCTACTGCCTCTCAGCTGAGAGGGCTGTAATACACAGGAGGAATTCAGACTGTGCACTGGAGACAGGATAAGAAGGCTTACTCTTAACACCCTTTCTGTTGTTTGGAAGTTGTTACTTTTTAAGAATACAGCGTTTACACATTAAAACACAGTGGATACTCTGATCTCATTGTTCCCTGTCATGGTAATATGTTTGCTTTGTATTTGTATTAAAGAACCTCAGATTTCTCTAGAATACTTGACATGCTAGTTGCAGGTGCTGCATTACCCGTGCAGATGGAAGAGGGTCTCCATAACATAGGTGGGCTACCTTTTGGAGCACTTTAAGTGAGAGAACTTTTTATCTCCAAGTTCACAGATGTGAACTTGTGTCACTTTCAAGCAGAGCTGAGGGTGTTGCAGTAGCAATGCTTCTGACCATGGTGTTTGTGGAGAGCACCAAGGGGAGAGCTGTATTTTGGTTATTACCACTCATCTGTGAGCAGGAGAAAGCTCTTCCATGTGCACACATACTTGCTACATACTGCTAACAAGTGTTTACCGTACTACTACCCACACTGGGTACCTGTTTACATACCACAATTTTTGGGTTGCAGAAATCACAACAAAACTTCTGGAACCTAAGTGAAAGGCTTTATTAAACCAGTTGCCTTTTGAGCTGAACAAGTACCTCCTTCTGGAATTTTAATTCTACAAGTAAAAATAGCATCTTATATGTGCCTTTATATTAAAAACAATAAATCAAAATCTCATTTATGTGTATGGTAATATTTTCTTTTGACTGTGTATGAGTTTGCCACTTTAAGCTCAGAGAGGGGGTGATATCCTCTAGAAATGTAATCACGGCTCTACTTCTGAGCAAAATATACCTCATTAAAAAACAAATATTTTCCTGCCAGAACCACATTGTTCAGATTGTTTACTTATAGCCTGTTTAGCAATATCCTTACACCCTATTAAACAAAGCTTTATTTTTAGAAAAGATACCTGGGAATTTTTGTATTGAACTTCGGCGTCAACAGAACTTACCTGCCTCTGTGTACAAACTACACCTTTGCATGTTTATTCTGATACAGCCAGTAATGGTTTACACTGCCCTGGGTCATATATTTGCATTGGCAGGCTGCTCTTTGTCCCGTTGTGGGGCTTTTTTTTCCTTATTGTCTTGAATTCCAGTGATGTTTACAGAATCTTTTGGTCTGTCTCAGTCCCTTTTCACTTATGTCGTCTCAGATACCTACTGTCATGGTTATCATGGAGAATGTAAATGTGATATATCGTAAATGTGATTTCTCTCTTTTCCCCATCACTGAGGAAATGCAAAACAAATTATTAGTGGCAACACTACTTTGTAAAATAACAATTAATTGGGTTTGTAGTGAGAAATGTACTGTAACTACCAATTGTAATTTAAGAAACATAATGATATATACAATAAATAGGAAATGTAATAGATCTTGTGGTTGTATGATTTAGCTTCTCAAACAGTAGCAACTCCTGTGTGTTACCCAAGATTTTCAGAGCAAACCAGCTTGATGTAGTTATAAATACTACTGTGATCCCTAGAGAGCATAATCAATATTACAATTGAATACAAACACCTGCATATTTCCTTTTCTGAGTTCAGTTACAATGATGTGCATATATGCCTTGGACAGTTCTGCTTAACACAATTCAGTGACCAGAGTGCATGATTAATGTTGTTTGTTTCTCTGTGAGCTTTTAAATGGTTGATCTCCTTTTCTTGTGTTATGCATGTCACTCACTCTGCATGCATTTCTAATGTTTTTGCCTCACTGTAATTTCCTTGTTGGAGTGCTGAGAGAAGGATAAGATAACTGATGCTCTGTTTTGAACCCTAGAGTGATTGCAACAGGTAATAGACTTTCTACCAAAGTGTATAATGAGCCTGTGTTTGATGGAAAGCTTCAATGTTCTGTGTACCATTCCTGCATTGTGCCTGTTGTCAAACAACCCTGAACTGGTACCCACAGGAATTGCAGTAGTTTCTTTCTGGATTGTCCTGTAAAGTACCACTGTTGGCCATAGACCACAGTATGCTGACAAGACAACCTTTGCCATCCATCTGCCAGTGCCCGTCAATCTTCATTAGACATCAGGTGGATTGATATCACTACGCTGACTGGTCGGCCGTGACACTTCTCTTTGAATTCAATCTAGGTTACAGCTCTTCACAAGAGGAAGCTTATTGTGCGGCATACATGACACTGGAAATTACTGGTCCCTGAAGCAGAACAAATTCTGTTCCATATGTGGCCATAAATTGGCAAATTAGTCTTCAACATCTGTCACTTTACATGGCAACATTTGAGGTGTTGGGGAGGGAAGAGAGTTTCCTTATATAATCCCTTTTAAAGTAAGGGCAGGTGTCACACTTGTTCCTTTAAAAATGCCTTCATCTACTGTCTTACATAAAGTACATGATCTAGACAGAAAAGATACATTTGTAGATGGATTCTTAACCTGAAATATTCAGCAAATATACCAATAGCCATGAGTCCTCTGCAGCTGGAGTGTTTCCAACTAATAAAACTTTCTACAAAAATTTTAAGGAAAATAAACAGGAGTTGGACATGAGTTGCAGCACCTGAGAAGTTGGAAAGTATTAGATAGATAGAGAGCTATGCCCTGTGAAGAAAACAGACATGAATGTTCAAAGTATACACAGTAGTCAGACCTCATTAACAATAGTAAACCGACCTTGTTAACCATATACAACCACTTGTGTCATAGTAGGCCTTGTGTGCTGGAACCTGAAATCTGCACAAGCTCTAAAGATGCCTTAATCCACATGAGGGCAGCTGCGTAACAGTGGAAGGGGAGTCAGCCTTCTCTCTCATACAGAGGAATATCTAAGCCTACAACCACCAGTTTACAGTCTAAAAAGAGCAGACATTTTACGAGTGCAGGCGAGATTTATGTAGAGCGGAGAGGACAAAGTCTTGCTCTGTGTGTGGGGTGCCAGAGAAGGGCTGGTCAAACTCCAGACGGCCTTTGAGTTGGTGCTTTACATCACTTCACTGAACAGGTAACACTGGAGCAGAATGCACATTTGGTTCTTTATTAGAGAATCTTCAGAAGGTAACTGAGAATCTCGGGGCAAGGTCCAGCTAGTGAGCACAGCAAGGGTACTCTGGCAGAGGATGCAATGGTTACTGCTAGAAATGCTCGTATTTTCCAGAAGGAACTTAGAAGACCTGTCTTAGACAAAAAAATACCAGTCTCAGAAAAAGAAGCGAGCATGTGTCTTGATAATTTCCTGTCAACAAGATGTATGGAAGATCACTGTTTATAATAAGAGGATGCTCTTATTTTTCTGTCTTTATTCTGTGTAGGTTATAGAGGACAGAAAGGGGAAAGAGGCGAGCCTGGAATTGGACTGCCCGGTAATCCTGGACCACCTGGCCCTGCAGGTACAAATCTCCACACTTATTACTGCTGTTGTTATTTATGAGCTAACGGGCATTTCTCCTGCTTTTCATGCTGATTTTACACTTGTGCCTTCCCTCCTGAGCTTGCCTGTAGCGCAAGGTCAGCCCCACCTGCCTTCTCGCGGATGAGCTGGCATGCAGCTGACCTTCGGCGGTGGAACGTGGGGCACTGCACGTGCTCTGCTGAGGGCTTGGCTAATTCTGACTTTGTTTTACCAGCCACTGGCCTGCCAGGCCCACCGGGAACGCCAGGCTCGCCCGGACCGCAGGGGCCAGCTGGACCCCACGGGAGGTGCAATCCGGCCGATTGCTATTACCACATAGCACAGACTCGGTCACACGCCAGCGGGAAATAAAACCCCTCTCTTCTAGACGCTTGGGTTCACAGTCACTTTTCACTCCTCTCATGAAGTTAATTTAACTTTTGAAATATTTGGTGCATTTTTTTTTTCGCTCGACACTGCATGGTATATAGGTAATTTATAAGGCACAGAGTTGAGCCTTTTTCTGCGTTATTTGCAGTGTCGTAATTATGAAATGATGATATATATTTTCCAGAGTGCATTCCATGTGTTATGTTTCTCATATTTATTTTGCTTAGAGGACAAAATAAGCCTAAATGATTTTCATAAGCTTCTTCCTTCAAACAAAAAGTGTTTTATTATAACGTAAGACAGTATGTATGCCACAGTATGTAAGATGGCTTTATTTTTCTTGCTGGTGGTGAAGTTTAAATGGAGAAAATGCATTTCTGAAGTTTTAAAGCATACCTGTTCATGGCAAGTGCAGGACCTGAGCTGGAGCGCTGGGAACTCTGTTTAGACTAAACGTGCAGGTCCCTCGAGGAGGCCCTGGCACACCTTCTGAACCAGGCCTGTGCCGTGCACCGTGAGCACTGCCCACCGCTTCTGTCATTTCCTAGATGTCGAAGAAGCAAACGAAGAAGTGGTTATGATCGCTTTAATCCCACCCAACATTAAGCTTCAGACTGACTGGAAATTTGCCAGATGTAGCCCCAAGGACCATCTTTCCTGACTGGATGTTGTCCCAGCTGAGGGCTTGTAGGTTAGTCATGGTTATGTATAATCCAGATATTAAACTGCTAGGGGCTGGTGTTGACCTTCCCAGCTGAGAACTGGCACATCTTCTAACTGTTACGTGGACTTAGTAAGTGTAGTATCATTGCCTGGAATCAAGCTCGTCTGCTATTACATCTGCTTACAGCAATAACAACTCCTTGCTTTAAAGCAGAGGGTGGTGGGTACAGAGTGACAGTCAAAGAAGGAACTTCACAAGCCTCTAATCTTACTGGTGGCACAGTTTTCCTCTTCCTCCTGCAATAATAGCATGCCAAAATAAGTTTGAGAAGAACATGGAAACAGTAGAATGCAAAATTCACAGGTCCTAATAACTAGTTGCAAAAAATTATTTGAGTTCAAAAGAAATTCAGAAAAAAATGCATAACTCTCCTTGGACAGGTGTACTACAGAGAGCACGACCACAGAATGCAGTCTGCAGGTGATCAGTAAATTCTTACAGGACCAGTTATTGTCAGTGAAAAACAAAACAGAAAAAAGCATAAATCCTATAGAGCTCAAAGTGTTGACCAAAAGAAACAGTGGAGAAAGCTGATCACACAGAGGCTGATTCTGAAAAGGAGGGAGGAGGGTTGGCCAGAGCTTCACTCCTGGTTATTAGGAAACAGATGAGTCTAGATTTAACCCTACAGAATTTGCTACAGTGCAATAGGAAGTGGTGGTGCTATTGAGAGAACATGGGCAGCTGTAACCCACAACCTCACAATAAAGCCATAGTCCAAAAGCAGTACTGAGGGCTCTTGCCCTGTCATTAGGAAGCCAGTGGCTCTCTTCCGTACTGGGCGGGGAAGTGGTTTTGGTGACTTTGTGCTTGAGCAGTATTGAGCTGCCAGGGCAGCGTCCCCAAATTGGAAGTGTTTTGTCTCAGAGAAGCTGTTCTGAGACACGAATCCAGCCGACTTCTGGGTTTTGGTTGCAAACGATAAGGAATGACTGGTGGGAGTCTTTGGGGAAAAAAAAAAAAAAAGAAACACAGGGGCATTTGTTCTGAATAGAGTTCCTAGCACTTGCACCCAGACGAGGGGAGCAAGACGAGTGCAAAAGGTGATAGAGATAACCCAGGAAGGTGGGGAGCACAGGCAAGCTATCTGAGAGGGGAAGCATGCCCACTTGACACGTTCATCAGTTAGGTGTTTGGAGAAGGAAGGTGCTTGGCACCACAAAGGTGTTTAAATAAACACAGAGGTGAAGGCTGAAAGCGAACACCTGGGAGAGGCAGAGGGCAGCAAGGAGGACAGCAGAAAATCTGTGGTGTACCATGAAACCACTTCCTGCTGGCAATCTGTGAGCTGTGATATGCCCTGCAGCTGAGGATGGCTTAGTGCGTGTCAGGGTTCTTTATCTGTCTCCCAGGAGGGTCAGGACAGACAGGTCAAAGCCCATGGGCAAACCACAGTCCTCACACCTTCTTTTGTGCTCACCCCTCGCTGTCCCTCAGGAGAAGATAACTGCCCCTCCTCTAGACCAGCACATCCTCGTTTCTGGGGGCGATGGGCATCCTCCCCACCAGGGTGAAGGTGCCTTTGGAACAAGTGGTCCTCCCTGTGCTTAGCTCAAAGCGTGCTGCTCCCGTCCAGACCTCCTGTGCCCACGGAGCACGTCTTGGTCTCCCCTGTGGTACCGACCAGCTTTCCAGATCTGGTCCTCGGAGTGCCGTAGCTGTGTAGACGCTGGGAACTGGCAAGGTGGCTTGAAGCCAAGCACTTGTCTGTGCTGAGGTGCCCACTGCTGTGCGGCCACCGGCCTGCCAGCCCAGCGAGCACGGGAGGAGGTCTTCCACCAGGGTCGTACGCACCAGCGGGGGAACAGGCCCCACATACTGTTTTCCATTCAGTCAAGTGAACTGCTGGTCAGGTATCTTTCATGAACGTTTTTTTTTTCTCGTTGATTTGTTTTTACTTCTTTTGTAATTCCAATGTATGTAAAAATCTAAATATTTTTTTACTTCCTAAGTTAAGTTTAAACTTCATTTTCTGTGATAATATTAAAAAGGGTGCTGTCTTGTAAAGAGTGTCCACGTGGCTGAGAGGTTTCCAAGCAGCCCCCGTCCTGGAAGGCTGTACCTAAACTATTGCGCCATATTAGTGGTATGTGTATATTTTGGGGCTTTTAGTTAGCTGAAACCAAGCATCTGTTATTTGCCAGATGCAGTTACTCTATGTTGATTTACTTGAATTTACGGGAAAGCAGAACACTTTTTATATTTGAAGAAGTTTTATTTTTTCATCTATGTTTCCTACAGATGCCTTTTTCTTTTTATAGGCTCAAATCTAAAGGTCTTTTTAAAAAATGTAGTTGAACACTTTCAATTGGTTTGCAGGTAACTTTGGTAATCATCTTGTTGCATTATTCTTTATTTCGCTAGAAGCCCACTTTCATTTTCTCACATGAGAAAACGGGTATTTTGTTGTATGGGCTGTCTTGACACCTTTTTGGAGGTGCTGTGTTCTTCACTGGGGTAGAACAGTGTTAATCCCAGCTTAACTTTAATTCACACCGGGTAGCTCCTGCTCTGCATCTTTAGAATTGAAGTAGACTGCAGGGGGGAACGTGCTTCTGCATGGTTTCCTGGGTCAGCCCCCAAAATTTCTTTGCCGTTTCAGACTGATGTCTTGGGTTTTGACCGGGAGGGCAAGGGGATGTTAATCTATTTTGTGATTTGCTTCATCGGTTCCGCATCTGTTTGGAGCAGCGTGTGCTGCAGTGAGGATTGCAAAGAACTGAACACAGAAGGTTGTTTTTTGCCAGTAGCACAAGACGTTTTTCTGATTTGGGGATGGTTACTTACAACAGGACTATGAACTGAAACACCTTTGACAAAATGTTTTAAGCCTTTCTTAAAAGCTCTCTAAGTTGTTCTAGTTCAGGGTCAGGTTATTGTGTTCTACGGGAAGTTGTGTTATCATTGGCTAAGAACGCGTTGGGACTTTCTTCAAATCAGAATTGCTCAATTTGCCTAAAGTAGTAAAGTTGTAAGGGCACTTCTCTGAGGCTGCAACATACATTTTGTCCACACGGTGGAGATCAAAACGTCGTCTTAGCCCATAGCCTGACTTTCTTTTTTTCTCTTTTTCCCTAAAATGCCTTTAGTATTTGCAGCAACACCACCTTTCTTAGATAATTATTTTTTTTTCAGGTAATATTGCTTAGATTTTCTTTGTGTTTTGTGTATATACGTGTTACAGAAGAACGTGCAGTCGTGGGACACCCCACTTGCAGGCATCATTTATGTCCACTGTACTGATGTTTGTAAGGGAGCGGGGGGTCTGCCAGGGCTAATAAAAACTACAACAGAATGCTCCATAAAATGAAGCAACGATGCAGCCTAATGTTTTATGAACCAGTATTTTTGTCTTAAACTGGATTTGGTTTCAATGCTAAAAGAGCACTGCGATATGGAAACAGGATTGATTGTATCATCCGTCCTTCATGTTTTATGATTGTGGATTATGACAGATGTTAGATATGCACAGCTTTGTTAAATAAGCTTGTTTTTTAAATTCATGGATAATCACACAAAATATTTTGGCGCTTCTTTTTCACAAAGGTGAAATACTATTTTTCACGTTGTTATACACTCCTTTTTTTGCTTCTTTTTCTGTAATATTTATGTAACGGTCTTGTTAAAACCCTACTGGCTAAACTAGCGTTTTATGAACTTGTTTCTCCAAATACACTACATACAGCCAGCCCCTAACCTTGCATTTTACCAGTGCAGTAGAACTGCTGCTCTGACCTGACATGTTAGAAAATGAGAAAGATCTCAGGAATCAAAACACTGTTGGTTTGGGTTTTTTTTTAAATGTGTTTCTGTTAGATTCTATATGTGCCAAGTAACACAAATTTTCTTTGAAACCTCTTATATCCACTACAACCAGATGGTACTGGATGGATGTTTAAATCCATCTCCGTACACATAGGCGGGTGTAGACCACAGAGAACGAGTTTAACTGTGACCTTGCCTTGGTTGCTGTTTAAGTGGAAAACTCGAGCTTCCTGATACCTTAAGGAAATCTGTTTAAGGAATTAAAGAAAATCTGGTTTTCAAATATTAATTGCTAAAAAAAAAAATTATTCTAGACCACAATAAGTTTGTAGCTGAAAAGAATGTAGCCTACATGTCTTTTAGCAGTTTTATCTCCCAGTCTGCTGTTCTGAAAACACAAATGCATTTAATTATTTACTGAAGTTTCAGTGTAAATATGTTCTGTCTCCAGTCAATATATCTGAAGGGTTTTCCATCACATACTTTATGATTTTCTTTCATTTCTGAGTGATATGAAGCTGTCACTGTGCTGACTGATTGCTTATTTCCTTCATTATGTTTTTGATTTGCAACATTTAAGGTTCGGTTCAATGGAAATATAAGTGGATAGAAAATTGCTTTTTACATTATTATGTGGCCATTTACATCTGCAATAGCATTCTGGATGGGAATGGAAATATTTCACATACTTTTAGTATATGGTTCTGTCAGAAATGAACCTTTCCTTCCATGTCAGATCATGAGAGGGAGGATGCAGCTGTGAGCAAGAGAAGGCTTAAACAATATCTATAATTTATGGAAGTTAATATATTCTTTGCATCAAATGCAGATATTTTCCTGTCTGAATACGAGATGATCACTTTTATTCAAGAAACTGATTCACTAAACCAT